ATCCATCTCGGGCGGTGGTGGTGTAGCTTTTGAGAAACTATCGGACGGTCGTGGCAAAGAAGTACCGTCCTTTATATCCTTCAAAACCATCTGGAAGATATATAATTACACTCAGAATATTCTCACTTCGATTTTAAGGGTGGAATTGTGAGCTTAGATTCTCACTTTTTTGCAAAATATATAGATAAATCAAGGTAATCACATTGAGTGATTGATAAAAGTAGAGAGTGGGCACATTACTTGTACAGTTTCTCTCTGTTAGAAGTTTTTATAGCTATAATGTGGAAGTGTGCGCGTACATATGTATATATAAGGGAATGAGTAGATATATGGTGGGTGTGGCCTGTGGGTGAATTTGAATGACGTTCGCCACTAGTAGCCCTCCACGTGATAAGTTGGAAAAGAAAGCTATTTTAGTGCTATGTTTTTTTTGTTTATATTGTACGTAAAATTGTTGTTCCACGTATTGTGAACCTTCTATGTTGCATACATTTGTTGGGTTCAAGACATTGCGAAGATGGCAATACGTACGCCAAATGTATGGCTATGGTCCCGAATGGATGATGATACTTCACACATTTTTATGTATAATGTCAATCATATATAGAATGATATATGGGTGTGAGAGGGACATTTTTTTTTTTTTTGATAAAGGATTTTCATTAATAATAGAATGGATACAAGGAAGCAAACAGCAACATACATAATTAAAAGAGAAAAGAGAGAAGGATCACAAAGTGATAAAGATCATTCAGAATGGGAATAATAATACATTTTTTTTTTACTTAAAAAACGTTACGATATATCATACATAATCAAATGAAAGGACTAATTAATTTTTTCATTAGTTTTCTTCGATTGGTGGCATGTGTATTATTAACTTTGAGTTATCATAAACCTTGTAATTCGATGTAATTTATAGTAAAAATTATGTGGTAAAATTGTAGATTTACTTAATGAACTTCTATATAAATATGAGTTGATATTTAAAAGAAAATTGAATTATAAAGCTTCTGATGTATAAGTTACATTATGTATAAATTAAATAAAATTATAAATAAAAAAATAAGAACATTTATTATATAATTAATAAAATAATTTAGACAAATTAATTAAATATATAAATTAAGAACTTATATGTAATTTATATAATCAAAATATGTATATATATATATATATACAGAGATTTTTATGTAAGTAAACTGTTAGTTACTAAACAAAATTAACAATAAAATTTAATAGAAAGAATGTAGATAAAAATAAGAAAGCTTATAAAAACCTTTGACAAAGTAGTCAATAACTATATAATTTTTTGAAATGGTTTATTACCTACGAAGGTGATATGAAACAATAGCGGTATAGTGTATTAATTTTTTTAGTTATTAATAAATCAAAAGTAACAGTAGCTTAACTAACAAAATGCAAATATATATATATATATATATATATATATATATATATATATATTAACTCAACTTCTAATACATGAAGTTTATCTGTAGATTTTTTGCTGATGTTGAATTATAGCTTGAGTTATCCAATTTGCTAAAGGACTAACTCAAAATTGTAACTTAGACATAATGCATTTAACTCAAATATTAACTCAAAAAATAAAAGGTAATTCATGATTGGCAACATTTATGAGTTAGATTCCTAACTCAAATTTTATCAAGTATATTATAGAACATTTACATATATTGAGGTTATAAATTTTTGTTTTGAAACTATTGAAGTGAATTAATGTATGATATTTTAAGTCTAATTCTTGGCTAGCTCTAATACACAAAATATCATAGATTAAGTTCTGACTTCAATCTACGATATTTTATCATAACTTAATATATGATATTTTGTGTATTCGAGCTAGCCAAGAACTAGACTAAACTTGTAGAACTCAAATTGAACACAAACATAAAATCGATGAGTGGAGACAGAAACTGATAGAGAAGTTGGAAAAGATGAGGTAGGCTTTTTTCGCCTTTTAGGCAAATGCAAGTGCCTAACACTGTCGTATGCACGAGCCACGATTTCTACACAGACCCGTTGTGTCGTTTCTTCTTTATTATTTTTTTTTTGTTTTCGACCATTTTAGTGGGTCCATACCATTATTCACCGTTTTGATTTTGTGGTTATGATATTCTAATAATTCTACACTGTTCGCTCATCTCATCCTAGACGCGTCTTTCACTATTCTCCATGGTCAAATGAATTGAACCGTGGCCGCGTAAGGTTTGGACCGCTTTTACTCAATAAGCCGAATGATCCAAAGACGTAGCTATAGGTGATTGATGCGGGTCACAATCGAATCACGAAAAATGTATATGGAGGTCGATAGATAACTCCAACTCCTAGAAAGCACGCTTTTTCTATTTGCATTTGATATGATCATGTTTACCGACTATATTTGGTTGGAGAGAGAGATTTGATATGATACTCTTGTAAAGTATACCATAATTAAGAAACCGAGCATGTTAAATGTGGGAATGCAACTTCGACCCTGTTGGAAGAAATTTAATTATTAAACACTTCTAATATATAGATATATCAGTCGTATGTTGTAAGAAAATATTTGATCTACTGAACCAAGTCGTCTTGATCTAATGGTAAAAGAGACTTTAATTAAAATTTCTACCATGGATTCAAATAGCATGGGCCACCTATAAATGTTTTAAATAATAAGAAAATCCGAATTTTTATGGGTCTTGTGGTATTAGTCGTTAAGTTTAAATTTTTTTTAAAAATTCCCACGACTATCAAAAAAATAAAAATATATATATTGTTTTGGCTATTGGATTGATATTATTCAATAAAAACTATAAATGACAATGTTAAAATTTTAGTAATTTATAGAAATCAATTTATGAAAAATATAATAAGATAATATTAAAATTTGTAAAAGGCTTTGGTATAAATACACAGTTCAACAAATAATAAAAAAATCAAAAGAAATGTGGTTAAAAATAAAATAGTTATCTTAATCAAAATTGTGAAAATTATGAAATTTTACAATCGTACGTGAAAATAAGATTCTACCGCTTAAAACCCATCAATTTTCAATTTTATATGGTTTTGTTTATATTTTCTATATTGGTTGAACAAAATAAATAAAATAGTTATTTTATATTGTCAATCTTTGTATTAGTGAAGTTAAACCGAAGCTGGTAATACAATAGTGGAAATTGTTTAACCTTTTTCATCTGTTAAGCTTTTCTATAGTTTCTTTTTTTAAAAGGCTTGTGTAATCATTAATCGACAATGATTGAGATAAGTTTTTTTTGAGAATTTTGAGAAAGGTTTTACATTATAAAAATCTCATCAACTACCATGTTTGCCTTTGATTTCATTATTCCTCTGTTTTAGGAAGAGTTGATAAACTTTAAAAGAGTTCTGCAGTTTTGAGATTCCATTGTTATTGGTTAATTCTGGAAGTGTTTATTCTTATTGATATGTTTTCAACATTGATCGTCCAAGTGGGATTAGAGTTAGACCATGTTTATTGCAGGTTCCTTAAGTTGGGTCCCTTAGCGTACGGTCCCTTAACTTTTAATTAAAAACGTTAAGGGACGTCTCTTAAATCCCTTATATAAGGGACGTCCCTTAGCGTTTTCAGTTAAAAGCTAAGGGACTGTACGCTAAGGGACCCAGCTTAAGGGACCTGCAATAATCATGTTCTTAGTGCTTGCGGCTATATCTCCTTTTTAGATAATAATTCAGCGATAAAATGATAACAGATAAGAGTGCTAAGCAAATATACATATAGGAGTTTATCACAAAACTTTGTTTCATTTTTCTGCGTGGGATGTCTGTCTTCAAGTTTGTAATGAATTCATTTAGTCCGAAGCCACGTAACGAAATAATTGATTATGTTAAGCTAGAAACAAAGATCATGAACAAACCGAGTTGAAGATTCTATGAAAGGCAGAGGTATAATAAGTAGCCTAATAATAAGGCACCTTCGTTGACTTGTATTCTGTTACAAGTGTGTGTACAAGACAGTGATAAGGATCGGTCGACCAACGTATTTGCATTCCCATTTGCACCCTTGTTGTTTTGAAGTTCTACATTAAATACACTGATCACGTCATATTAATTTCAATATGGCATTTTCCTCTGTTTTGAACAGTTTTTCTTTGAAACAACTTAAACGCCTTAAATATCAAAATTTAACCGCTATTATTTGGTTTTGTTCTTTTCTCGTGGGTCTTTTCATGCAGATATCTATCAAACGAGCTGGCCAGAGACATGTGACTCTTGAGAAAATTATTTCTCCTCTTCTCTTCTAACTAACCGATATGTTTGTAAACTTCATAATATTAGTTGTTATATTTTCCAGTCTTTCACTCACAAGTTCTTTGTTAGATTTGTATAGTATTTAATTATACTAGTAGTAACTGAAGAACCAAACTAGAGCTAGAAACACGTGAACTGCGGCGAAGATAAACAACACAAAGGATAGAGTTGATCTAACTGCCAACCAAGTTTTGAATATTTCACAGTCTTTTGTTTCTGCCGAAACTCCAATTATTGATGAAGTAGTGGTTTTTTTTTAGAAAATATGAGTCATGAATGGACTGCTAATGTGAGAAAATAAACACAAATTTAAGAAAATGGATTTACGAACATTTGCGAAGTATACATTTACAAAAGAAAAAAACATTTGCGAAGTATAGAATATATATTTGAATTTGATAACAGCTGAATATATATTGAATTTAATCATATTCAGGATAATCCTCAATGTGAAACGTGTCAGATTCTTAAATTGTTTAAACTTTAAACACGCGTAAGATATTTTTGTAAGAAAGACTGAAAAAGAAGTTGTGATTTTTTTCGAAAACAAAAGTTTCGTATTCTTCCTTTTATATGTTTTGGACAACACAGAGTTTCTATTTAGGATATTCATGAAACATGTCAGATTCTAACATATTTTTTAAACACGCGTTAGTAAAATGCGAAGTCACTATTCACAATCCAATTGAGTGTTCATATAATCAAAGTTGTCACATGTTTCTATAACGATACTTTCGAGCACAGCACAAGAAGGAGATGAGATTAAGAGTGCTTAAGGCGGCAATAAAGTAATAAAAATAATCTAACTTGCCTGTATCAATATCATCCGTGAGCCAACTCTGTCTTCCTCCACGAGCAGTCACACTATGTACAATCCTCACCGTCGCACTGCTTAGATAACTAGCAAAAGACATGCCTAGGTAAAGCAACGAGTTCCCAATGCTTCTCATATCGATTGGAACTTGTTTGTTGAAGAACTCAGTAAGACCAACAATGGTGAAGACTTCATAGAATCCCATTAGTACTTGTTGCGGGGCTAGCCAGAAAACCGACCTGCTTACCCCTGCACGGGATAAATCTCTTCTCTCTCGTTCCAAAATACCCGATATAATCATCGTCAATATGGAGAAGAAGTTCCCAATCCCAACTTTTTGAAGTAAAGAGATGCCTCCTTCTTGTTTTGTAATGTTTTCAATGTGTCGGACCAAAACGGTTTCATAGAAGGGAAGCCATATGCCTATGGTTAAGAGGGATACAACGGTTATAGAAGCAGGAGGGATTAAGTAAGAAGTACCGGGAAATCGAAGGTCCATTTTAAGTGCTTGTGAGACCGTGAAGGTGTGTTGTTGGTTCATAGCCAAGAATCCTAAAATGCTCGAAGCAAATATTGGTATTATGCTTATTATGGACTTTATGTCTTCTATTTGTCTCGTGGTGCAAATCTTCCACTCCTCATTTTTAGCTTCATCGTTGTTCATCACAATCACAGCTTTGTTCAAGAATCTGAAACCAAAAAAAAAAGGTTTAATGTTCAGTAGCAATATTAATTTACATATGTAATTATGTTAATTTTTATATTGAAAATCACTCACTTTAAATCTACAAAATGAACATAGTATTAAACGGCAACGAATGATAAGAATTTACCTGTATTGATCAGTGAGCACTGGTTTATTTGATTGCGAACTCGTCTCTAGTAACGGTTGATAATAGTCAATCTCAGATGGAGGCTGTTCATTACGCTTCTTATAAGCATCAACGAGAACCTTGAAGATGCCAGAGAACACACTTCCTTGGGGTCTAACAAAGACATAAAACCGAACTCCCACGAAAAGCAGAAGAAGCGCAAACACATTGAGAGCGGTCGGGATAGCGAATCCAAGGGCCCAGCTAATGTTGTTCTGTACGTACAACACGAGAGTCATTGATATTAACTGAACTATTGTATGAGTTGTATAGTACCAGCTGAAGAAGCTTCTACTTCCTTCCCTTCCTTCTTCAGTAGAATCGTCGAACTGATCGAGACTAAAAGGAATACTGCACGAGCGGATTCCTCCTGTTCCGACTGATAACAAGAACAGTCCCGAGAGTAGAACGTATAATTGTTGATCGCTATAGAGAATACACGTTCCGGTGATTTTGTCGGTAGTGCAAGGTGGTGGCCGTAGGCTAGGGATCAGAGAAGTTAAAGTCAAAACCAACATGCCCTGTTGAAAGTTTGATACTCATGTCCGTTTCCCAAAATCAATATCAAATGTGAACGAATAATATACAGTACTCATCATAGCTCGTCTCCCAAACAAAGTATCTACACTATATATTAATGTTTTCATTATAGTGTTAAATTTCACTTGTGTTAGTAAAAGTATTGTACAATTGAAATATGACAATTGTACACGGAGTTTCTCATCATTTTCAGTAAATTTAAATAAAAATTTATTTATTTTACTTTTAATTAGTATCTCTTTCCTAATATTTTATTTTATTTATTTTGGTGAGATATTCTTCTGAGAAAGTTCAGTTTTTGTTTGCGGTTACATTTTTTATAAAAATTAAATAGAAGAGTACATTTTCTAAGAAAGTAATTTTACCACGTGAAAACGCAAATGCTACATGCAAATTTGTTTACGTTTGGAATTGGCTTTAAAAACTAACATCCAAATTTGTTTACGTTTGGAATTGGCTTTAAAAACTAACATCCAAATTTGTTTAAAACGCTTAAAATGGGCTTTCATTCAGCAAATACATGCATGCTAGGTGTAAGGGTCGTTTCGTGTGATCGACAAGAAAAAATGTAACCGCAACCCAACATGCAAGCACATAATCAATCACAAATCTCATAAAATCCTAAAATTTTTTTTTTTTTTTTTTTTTTGAACGAATGTAAAATTTATTCAAACAAAAACAGTTTTACATCAAAAAGTGCTACACTTTTGTTCTATAAGCTAGAACTGAAAAGAAACTCAAAACAACAACTAATTTCTCACCCTTCTAAAACAAAAAAATAACCTCATCCTCAAGCTTTAACCATATGACACAAGTCAAAGCTTGGAATGCCATGAACATTCCCTCATTAAAAATCCTAAAATATTAACATCAATTCAATACCAAAAAGAAAATAAGGAAAAAATTTACCAACAACTCGGAGATGGAACCAAAGACAATGGTTACAAACTTTCCGGTGCATGCGTCCGATATGAAAGCTCCGATGATGGGAGCGAAATTGGTGAGAGCATTCCAAATGTTGATTAGAGTCGCAGCTTGGACTTGGTCCATATGATATTCTCGTACCATATACACCATGAAGTTCGACGTCAGTCCAAATGAAGCAAGCCTCTCCAGTGTCTCATTGGCTGCATCATCAAAATAGATTTGATCTATATATGATTTACCAAAAACAAGAAAATCAGATTATGTAAAACTGGATAGTTACCTAATATGTAAGGCATAGCTTTCCAACCAAGAGGCTTTCTTCGTCTCATCGTTGAATCCGAGGAAACTGTCCCTTCTTCATCCATTTTTTGGTTTGCTCTAGTAGTCTCTCGGATTTGGTTTTGAAGCGAATGTAAGTGTTTTCTTTTTCTTTTTGACGAACAAATGAAGTTTTTATATTGAACAACTCAGAAAATAAATGGACATAATCTCAACATTTTAATAACAGAAGATTTCCTCTTTATAGTGACAACTTGTGAGCGATAAAAAAAACTTTGTATAGATTTCTTTCCAAATCCACGTAACCAAATAGATTAAGATTAATCAGGTTATGTGTGCCATAAAATATCTAGTAATTAATATAAATCTTTAATAGATATAAATTGTTGAAAGTATCTGCCTATTAATGAATTAACTAATATTTCTAGCAGGACAAGATGCTGAAATGGGCTTTAGATGGGCCTAAATTGACCTTGGGTTTACAGCAAGAGTCATTAGTCACATTATTAGCGATTTTTTGTTTCAGCTGAGTTAGTAACAGTATAATATTTTTAAATTAGTATTTTATAAATTAGTCTACACTAAATTAATTATTTGATTCAATTAATATATCGATAAATTAATAATCTTTATAAGTTAATAAAAAATTATGGTTTTGATGTGATTTCAACATTATTGATTTATGGAGATTTCAGTCGCGTACATCGATGTCAGACCATAACTTCTTGGTTGGGCTGCCTTGAACTAACCCATATTAGTTGGACGTGGCCCTAAGGCAATTTAACTTTCTTACGGATTAACACGAGTAAAAGGCATTAGAAATTTGAAAAGGAAAAAACACAGCCCTTTGAAAATATGAGTTGAATGTAATTTTAATTAATTATTTTGCCTCTTTAGAGTAATGGTGATCAGTTCCAGTAACTAAAGCAATTCCATTTACGAGGGTGTAGTCAAAAGAGGAAGTATATTAATATACATAAGAGCATGATTACTGGGACTAGCTGCATAACCCGCCCGCGCCGGAATCTATGTTTTTTTCGGTTGTTGGTTTAATGGGTTATTCTAATAATACTAAATAATAATGAAATGGAAATAATGTAACAAGAGTGTAAAATAAAAATATTATATATATAATGTGTTAAATATTATTTATTATGCGAAATAAAGTTTATAGGAATAACTAAATTATAATATAGTTTTTAGTGTATAAAAATAGGTGTCTATATTGCTTTTTTTTTTGAAATAGTTTTTATATCGAATGTCAAAACTTGATATAAATATTTATTTATGGTATTTATATTTGTACTAAACGATTTATCAATTTGAAAATAACTTTAATTTAAGCTAATATTTGTTGTTTGGGTTTCAATAGATAGGTTTGGATATGTTTTTTTGTAAGTTTGGATTTTGTTCATGAATAATGTGGTATTTTTCTTTACGGCGTCGTCGACCGTGGAAATCCATCCGCCGGAGTCTGATAAAAATGAAATTATAGTAACTATTAAAATTGAAGAGAAATTACATAGTTATTTTATAAATAACAAAAATATTTTTTTTTATTTTATTTCCCACACATAAGTTTTTGAAAATATATATTAGGAAATATGTTCTAACAGTAAAAATATATATTAGGACATGATAGTACCGCGTGAGACTCGTTTTTTTTTTTTTTTGGCTGTTCAGTTTTTGATCCATTTTTAATTGTTTTTGAGTTTGAATTCGTCAAACTTTAGGATTTTTTCATTATTTTAGGCTTTAAACAATAAGTCCAGAGGAAAAAAACATTAAAACTAAAAACCCATATGATAATAATTCAAACGAAAAAAGTAAAATACATAACAGCTGCGCGGTTTGAACCCACACACTTGCAGACTTAATTAGATGTCTTATACCACTTTGCTAAAATATATTCATTGTTCATAGTCATTTTAAAAAAACTATAAGATTTGAAAATTTAAACATGCGGGGCCCACAAACTTGCTGACGTTGACAGCTTTAGGAGTCTTACAAGTGAACTATTATAATATAGATTTTTTAGTGGGTTTCTAAGAGAGTTTTTATTGCATGGGTCCCATAAACAATATAAGAATCGGTTACAAAAACTATAAATTAAGAATCGATTCTTAAGGATTTCTTGCACTGTTTGCGGGCTTCAGTGAGGCGGCCCGTGATTGGTTCATTTTAATTTTTTTTAGATAAAAAAAAAAGAAATTTAAGAAATTCAAGTGGATTTTAGGGATAATGATGACTTAAAGACCCCAAAAGATAGTTTCTCTTGTGACTGACTCAGAGCCCAAAGGTGCATTTGAATACTTGTTTTAATATGCAGTGTTTTTTTTTAACACACATATTTTTTTTCATCTAAATTTGATTAATAAAGGGACAAAGTCCAAGATACACAATCTCCAAAACCCATAACACGAAAACATTACAATAAAATTCGACATGGGCTACAAATCCAAAATTGAGAAAACCCTAATGCAGACACTTTCCATCTATCTCATCTATCTCATCTTCTCACCGATCATTTTCTGCTAAATATCTATAAACGAGAAATAAGAAGAAAAAATAATAATCTAAAGCCAGACCGACAGTGGCTGTGAAAACCATTCCATCGGTCGGAATCACTAAACACGACAACCTTTCTCTTTCTTCTTTCTGTGTTTTTGTTTTTCGTTATGTTTGATTCTAATACGCAGTGTTTAGTCAGTATTTTTTTGTGCAAATTAGAAAATTCATGCTTGTTTACATAATTGATAAAAGTGCATGATCATTAAGTGTAATTACCCTTTTCTATAATAATAAATTTTCATGTTATACTTTATAATAAAAAGTTATGAACTTAATCTGAAACATATACGTCCTAAGTACTCTAAGACTGTAAATCCAGTTTTTATATTAAATATTAAACTGTAGTTATAAGAAATTTTGTTTTGCATATCATAATCATGAATAGTATGCTTCTGCCAAAAATCCATACAAGAGGTTGGCAAATTGATGATTTGTTATATTAATATACACATTTGAAATTGTAATATTTAACTCAACCGAAAGCTACAGCTTGAGTTTCGGCCTAATTTGTAAGGCATTTTTAGAAAGTGACAAACAAGAGATAAGTTTGAGAGTTTCAAGATAGTAATGTTGACTCGCTATATCACATTCTTGACCTTTATAATTCTCTGTTATATGAACTGTATTCGGGGTTTATTGGTGGTAATAAAGCTTTAGAGCACCCCCATCAGTGAACCGATGGGGAAAGTTCATAAAAAAAAATATTAATTTTTTTTTTTTCGTTTGCTTTTTTTTTTTAAAAAAATAATAAAATAATGGACCAATCGCGGATCGCCACGTGGTATGGGGCTCGCAAAACAATGTTGAACCGGATTTACCCCAGTGATATCTAGGGAGTAAGATTCACAATTTTTATTATATTTTTTTCCTTGGTTTTTGTGTGAAACCCCCCATTGAAAGTTCAATGGAGATACTCTTACATCCTATGGTACAAATGCACCTTTTTTCTTTTTTTCTTACTTATCATAATCCAATGAAAGTTTAACAGTAGAAAATATGGTGTCACAACTACTTGACATCTATCTTTTAAACAATTTTGGCTACTCCATCATTCATCACTAAACTGTTCCACTTATAAGACACATGTATACTTTCGTGCGTGCTTTTAGAATGCACACGTATATGATATATGCATGCTAAAATAAATCTAGTGTTATCAAATGTTACGTTGGTATCTTTTGACCCTAAATAAATAAAAAGACGTCATGAAAAGTGTTTTGGGTTTCTCTGCAGGCTCATTATATGTTTCTACTACTTTTGTAAAAGCTTTATAAACTGTATGGAAGATAATAAAGTATATATATCTTTTTTTTAAAGTGTTTTGAGCCAAGCTGTTTTCTAAATCATTGAACTATATACGCAATTGATGATGCACAACTTAGACATGCACTGTCCACTAAACCTATTAGAGAACAAAACATATACGTGCGATGCGACAATGTCAGATGCAAATTGGTAAAGCAGGTTTTACCAAAAAAAAATTGGTAAAGCAGGAAACTATAATTGGCTCTAAAGAGTGGTATATAACTATTCAAGATTCACAAAAATTGTAAATCACTCGTAAAGAAAAGTATTTTTGTTTCAGCGCCCTTTTCTAAAAATGTAAATGTAAATTATTTCTTATCTGACCATAGTATAACGGAATTGTGCTTTGACTAAATGAGGAATTATATTGACTGATCAGTAATTTTTTTTATCAACGGTTCATATATCTAAACTGATCCATAATCATTTAATCAAGTAATATAAATTGATCAGTGATACTTTAAAACTATTTTATAATTGTTTTCTGATAGAGAATGAAAGCCATTCTTTTGTTTTTGCAAATAATAAAGTCAATACAAAAAATGTAAAACATCAAATCTATATTATTAAAAAGAAGTATTCATAAGAATTATCCCTTAAATTTATAATTTATTTACAGTTCTATGCCACTGAAATAATTAAATAAATTATCTTAAATAACCTTTGTCTTTTCCAAGTATTAAATCAATTTTCTAAAATAATTATGATTTCCTTAATAGTAGTGTAAGTAATAAAGATTTTCTAAAAAATAATGTACTTCATATAACTTTCCTCACTTTACATGCCATTTCATTTACTAAATAAAATTTTATCTGCAAAGAAAGTAATGTCTTTCATCGACACACAATAAATTATATTATATTCATCCTCACATTTTCAAAAAAAAAAACAACTCATAAAATAAAATAATATAATCTAACAATCATTCTTCATAACATTTGAACTTATTTCAGTCACACAAAAAATCAACCGTTATTAACCAATTTAAGGTAGTTTTACGACTTTCGTATGTACAATTAATCATGAATCTTTATTATAACCACAAAACACATGTTAAACTTCGTAAATTATTTTTTCTGTTCCCTTAAATTAGGTAACAAACAACTGTATATTATTCGAAACACAACCAATCATTAAATACAGTATTCGAACAACTGAAAAATCCCAACCTTTCCTATTTCATAGGTTTCAACACAACACACAATAAATA